TAGTATCATCATCATCATCAAGACCAACATCATCATCAGAACCAACATCATCATCATGACCAACATCATCATCATGATGACCAACATCACCATCATTGTTATTATCATTTCTCATTTTTCCTTCATCTTTAACACCAAAATCATCACCATTTTCAAAACAGTAGTAGGTACCTAACGATACTATCATCAACACCCCTTCTCTGAATCACAGCAACACAGCCCTACAGACAAAGCAACACCATCAATGCAAAACACGACACACACACACACAAACACACACACACGTACACACACGAGCAAACGAACCCCTTTGAGATAGGGTGCAGCCTTGACGAGGGCTCTCAGCTCGACGAGGTACGTAAAGTACATGTTCTTAAGACGGGTTGGGCCCTCGCCCCACGTCAACTTCGGATCGAATCTGAGGTGGTGGTTGTTATGTGCATGTGTGTGTGTGTGTGTGTAAGCGTATGTGTGTGCGTGCGTGTGTGTGCAGTTAGTGTACGTGGTTTATATGTTGTGGCTGTTTTTCTTGGTTTGTTTTTGTGTTCAAGTATCAAGTTTGTGTGTGTCTTGCTGTATGTTATGTGTGTGTGTGCGTGTGCTGTATGTTATGTGTGTGTGCTGTATGTTATGTGTGTGTGTGTGCTGTATGTTATGTGTGTGCTGTATGTTATGTGTGTGCTGTATGTTATGTGTGCTGTCTGTCATGCTAGTTTGTTCAGGAACAGTTCAATCGCATGGATCAGCGAGTAAAATTTATTCGTTTTCTTTTCGTTTTTATTTTGTGATGATAGGTCGAAATTTAGACGATCGATCGCAAAGTAGTAGAAGTATAAAATTACAAACAAAAAAACAGATAAATATTTTAAAACAAGAATAACAATAATATATTCAGTCGGCAAGTTAGCTCAGTCGGTAAGAGTGCATGTCTCACGTCGTCGATAGCGCGGTGACCTGGTTCGAATACTGCCCATCTGAAATTAAAAAAAACAAAAAAACTATAATACACCATGCTAGCGAGTGCACACAAAATGTGCATGCACTGTACGTCGTGTGGCGCGGTGTGGTGTGGCCCTGTTGAGGGTCTGTTTGCCACGAAAGTTTATCTATAATCATAGAGAGAAATGTGGGCAGTTCATAGCCGCATAATAATAATAATAGTATGGGAACACTTCTTTTATTCAATCACATTGTTAATAATAGTATAATAATAATGATGATAATAATAATAATAATAAATAATAAATAATAATAATAATAATAAAGTATGGATCTACCTCTTAATGAACTCCTCCAAGTTTGGGCCCCAGGTTGGCTTGGCGAAGGCATTCTTGGCTGTGGTGGTGATGAAGTTGGTGATGTTGGTAAGGATGACGTCATGAGGAAGATGGCGATGATGATGATAATGACACGAAGATGATGATCTCGCAGATGAAGATGACGATCGTTTGATGAAGAAGATGATGATATGATTAGGTGGTGATAAGTGTGCAACACTTTTTTTTAGCTAGACAGATTGGAAAGATGTCAAAGGGGCAGGAAAGATTAAGAGGCAGATGAAAAAATATCAAATATATAATCATATATATAGTATTCAATGAATCAGTCATTCAATCTAGCAAATTGGCAATAAACCAACCAACCAACCAGCCAACCAACCAACCAGCTAACCAACCAACCAGCCAGCCGGCCAGCTAGCCAGCCAACCAACCAACCAACCAACCAACCAACCAACCAATCAGCCAACCAGGCTGCCAACCAACCATCCAATCAACCAACCAACCAGCCATCCAACCAACCAATCAACCAACCAACCAGCCAATCAGCCAGCCAACCAACCAACCAGGTATAAGCCAGTTAGCAGTGATGTCGACGTTGATGCTCGTATGGAAGCCAGATATCAATCTGTGGAATGTTCTCTTCTCCAGGCACATGCCTGTCGTCACGTGTGGGATGAATGAATGAATGAATAAATGAATGAATGAATAAACAAAGGAATGAATAAACAAAGGAATGAATAAGTGAATGAATAAATAAAGGAACAAATGAATGAATGGTTGAGTGGATAGACGAAATGAATGATTGAAAAAAACAAATGAATGAAAAATGAATGAAGAAACAAACAAAACTTGTAACAAATGGACGAACGAACGAAGGAATGATCGAAGGAGTGAATAATTGAATGAGTTGAGGAGTGGGCGAAGAGTGAGTGATGAATAAATAGACGGACGAATGAATGATTGATTCAAGAAATGAATGAATTAATAATAGTTGAAAAAAATTTTCAACTTTATGAAATTTTTCATTTTTTCAATAGTTATGAAATGAGGATATCATTAACTCCTATTAACTTGTAATTTATTTAAGCCAGTAACTTAAAAAAGAACAAAAAACCCTGAATTAAAAATATATAGCATGATTAATAATAATTATAATTCAAGTATTCAGTTGCACTACAGATATGGCAAACAACATTAAAAAGCTAATCATAGAAAAAAATCAATCAATCAATCAATCAATCAATCAATCAATCAATCAATCAATCAATCGATCGATCAATCAACCAGTCAGTCAGTCAGTCAGTCAGTCAATCAAACAATCAATCATTCAATCAATCAATCAATAAAACAATTAATCAATCAATCAATCAATCAATCAATCAATCAATCAATCGATCGATCAATTAGTCAATCAATCAATGAATTAACCAGTCAGTCAGTCAATCAATCAATCTATCAATCAATCAATCCACCAATCATCCAATCATTCATCAATTCACCCACCACCCATCCATCTAGCAGACATGACGATGACATAACGACCAACAAACACCAGCCACTAACCATCATTGGCTAGATATTGACCGTACCCGACTTTCTCTGGCCTGTTTGCAAAAAAGACAATGCCAAAATAGAAAAATGAGAGTTCGGTATCATCGTTAGCATCGCTACCACCATAGCAACCAGGATGTCTATCAACCAATCAATCAATCATTCATCAATTCATCAAATCGGCCGGAGTTGATTTATCGGAACCGAAAAAGTTCCGGTAAATTTTTACCGAAACCGGATATTTTTAGAGAGATCGGAGGATTCTTCATCCGACTTTGATTGCGGAAACCGTTGAAAATTTGAAAATTTTTTTATCCGGCGATTTCGCCATCACCACCATCATCATCGTCGTCGTCGTCATCAAAATAATTATCATCATCATCGGCGTCACTATCGTCATCATCATCATAATTATCTTCATCATCACCATCATCATCATCACTAGATTAGTTCTGGTAAAATTAGCAACAATCGATGAAACATGTGGGTCAGAAAAAATTGAATTAAATGGATCATTACACAATATGTACACACCACCATCAATCATCATCACCACTATCATCATCATCCTCACCACTATCATCATCATCATCATCACTATCATCATCATGATACTGGCGGATTAGAACTTAAGTGGGCTTAAGCAAACTAATCAGATGATGTTTTCAATGATAACAATGATGATGATAATGATGACGACGACGATGAAAACCCCAAAATTTAAACTCAATTTTTTAACCTCCCCAACATCAACATCATCATTATCATCAGCTTCACCATAATCATAATCATCACCATCATCACCATAATCATCATCATCATCGACAGCAACAAAATAATCATCATCACAACCATCATCATCGCCATCAACAACAACATCATCATCACAACCATCATCACCACCACAGTCACCACCGCCACCACCGCCACCACCACAACCACCAACACGATCACCATCACAAACTTGAAGCAGTTCTGGTCGTAGATAAGTCTCCAGACATTAACGGCAGAAGGGCCGGTGTAGCCCGTGAACCTTTCAGGGTTCAGGACGAGGTCATAGTACACTGCTTCTGGTGACTCTATGTCTGGTGGTGGCGGTGGAGGTGGTAGTTCCAGATAAATATAATAATTATAATATAATTATTAATATGATATAATGTGATGCACTGCAATTAATATAATATAATATAATATAATATAAAAATAATAAAAATAAACATTACCATCACCACCACTATCAGCTTTGTAATGATAATAATAAGAAGAAGAAGAAGTATAAAATATGGGAACATCCTTTTATTTTTAACTCCAAATACCAAATATTAATAATGGAATAATTATAAAATCCTATTTAATCTAAAATGCTCGTCACTGCAAGTGGGTACATTTTAGAGGGGCCGGTTTAATTGTTCAATTGGGGTTCAATCATTCTTATTATTTTGGCGTTATCAATCAAATTTTATGGTAAACATAGAGTTGCAATAAAGTTAATAAAAAGACAATAATATATTTTATACAGTCTGAACCTTGTCTCTATATTGCTCGACATAGTATAGAATGTGTACAACTAGAGTAGGTCAGTTTAATATTTACATTGAGTTTAAAAACGTGCGTACATGCAAATATAAAGTTATTAATGTGAAAATAAAACACTCAAATCCCATCAATCATTTGTCCCAGTTCAGTTTTCTTTCAACTGGAATGGGAAATCTGGTGCTTCTTCGCAATTGTTGATGTAATCTAGTGATGTTCCAGGACTGAGCATTGTAGCAGAGGTCGGCTGCCTGTTTATGAGGGGAAAGTCGGGTCCTGTCCCCTCGTCCGGCGTCTCTCTCGTGGATGCCAAACATGATGATACAGTATCCATTATTATTCTTATATTGTTATTGCTACCATTATTAATACCATTATTATTACTTCAAATTTCTTGTTATTAAATTAGATTTATCGTCAACATAATTATTATTCATAATGAATAATAATATAATAATGAAAATAATTTTAATAATGATAAGAAGAAGATTATGAAGAAAAAGAAGAACAACAAAAACAACAACAAGAGCAAAAAGAAGAAGAACAACAAAAAAGAAGAGGAAGAATAGTAATACAAATAAAAACATTAATAATAACAATATTAGTAACGATGATGATAGAAATAATAACAATAAC